CTGCTAGTGGACCAACGATTATGTTAATTATAAAAAAAGATCACCCCCATGGGTCTAAGACTCAATTTAATTCTGAATATGAGTTTACACTATGATATCTTGAGAATATACTGACTTGATCGTCGGGATACCCCCGTGTGAACAAACCGCCGTGAATCGTTCTTTTTCTTTGGCAGTCACCCAGGTGTCTATCTCATTATTGCATAGTGCCTCCAGCGTGATAACGAGTTGAGGTATGTATCTCGAAAATCAGCTCACACAATTTTACACTGTCTGTGGAAAGAAGAGAAATAGATCCAGTACGGAACAGAAGGAAAAGATTGGAGAACGACACTACCCTGCTGTGGAGTGCAAGACCTACGACCTTATCGAAGGCGGGACAGGAACAACCAGCAACACAGAAACTCGTAACCAGAATCACGAAGTAAGAAAGATATCGCGGGCAGATGCACGCACACCACAAGAAAGCTTGATCGAATGTGGTACTAACAATGAGGATGCACCTCTAGGTATATAAGGATAGATGCCTGCAGGAGAGAAGAGGTAAAGGAGATGGCAAACAAATGGCAACCGCGACATCTGTCAATTCATATGCAAAACAATGTCATGGTTCAGCCATTTCCCAATACCCCCTTGCCAAGACACGCCGACCAGCGGCCAAGCCTTAGAAGGATGGTAGAAGACATCCCAATAGCCCCTCAGGCACACCAAGAAAGCGAAAAAACACTCTCACCAGCCTTCAAGGGATGGTCGGATGAGGAGATAGTGAAAGAGAGATAGAACGCGGAGGCGCATCACGCCAAGGAGGCAGCCCCAAAGAACATCGGCATGTTCAGGGGCAGGCGCTCTGCTTTACACAACTCACGAAAAAATGATAAGGACGCCACCATAAAGCTGGGAATGTAGTATCGAAAAGATCTTAAAGTCAGACAAAAAAAAATGAAGTAATATCTAGAAATACAGAACTACTAATGAATTAGCATAAATAGGTGTCAGTGTAATTGACCTTCTAATCTATCGAATATCATGGTTATCTTCCTTTTTTTTCCCCTTTTCAACACACTGTACAAATATTACAATCTTACAAATTACAAGACAGATGACTTGAGGCTTTCTTCAGAAAATGCAAGTTTCGAATTCCAATATCTGCAAAGATCCAAGATTCCAAGCCCCTAAACCATATTTTTAGTGTAACAAAAGGAAAAAAATATGAATTCCTTGCCACACAAGTGTAATCAAGATACGAAACAACGTACTGGGAAGACCTCCGACTGATCCATGAATAAAACCAATTGCATTGCCACACATACTTTCTCACTTTTCCTTCAAGCAATGAGAGTCACCCCCCAATAAGTAGGATCTTAGAAATAGCAAAATAATCCGATGATTGCACAAGATCCTTCAATACAATAAATCTCTTCCCAACGACACATATCTATGAACTATTTCGCAACACATTCTTGGGAAGGTCTGACAGAAACTTTTAGCGGTTTTGGAGTTTCAACAGCTCCTCCACTCATTTGAATTACCGTCCAATCTTATTTTCGGCTTTCTTGCTCTCTCGAAGATGAGGCTTTTGTTGTTAAAGACTGAATCATGGATTGAGCAGTAACCAACCTCTCCCTCAGCATGACATTGTATTCATACAGACTTTGGAAGTTCTTTTTGATATCAGACATACTGATTTCAGAACCAGACTTAAATTCTGCAAACAAAAGCAATAAGGTTAATTCTATAAAGCAAATACACGTAACAAAACACAATGTAGACCTTGCCTATTTAAAAATTTCATAAAACTAATATTTCGAATGCCAAAAGTCTCACAATAATTAAAGAGGCCATCTTCACATCTCTCTTGAGAACAGCAGTTTCAAACTAGTACAATGCAGGTTGCTCTCATCCTAACCACTTAAACTTTTGGGACTAGTGGTGATCTAAAATGATATCAAAACTGGGAAAAATTATTTAATACTCCTGGACCATGTCTAGGTGGTGTTCCAAATCAGTAGCTATTGGTCTAACTCATGGGATCCACCACTTTTATGATAGAGTTTTAGAAGACAAAGTGTCAAGTGTCAATCTGTCAATGGAATAGGATCATTGCTCCAGGAGAATTGAATAATTACTCTCAAAACTGAGGTCAGAAAAAGGTCATAGATTCAAGTTATAAAGCACCAACACCTTAAAATGCGTGCAGTATCCATGTTGGATATGGTACACCGACACTCTAGAGACGCGCCTCCACATGTCAAACACACCACGTGTGTTTAGTGTTTGAACACACCTCAGGACACTTTTGTGAGTTTCTTTTTCATAATATAGAAAGATGATTTGAGATCAAAGTAAAATATATGAAAACAAAAAAGAAGGAAAGTGAAAATAAATAAATAAATAAAAACCACATATGCATTGAAGCCTCTTATATCTCTATGCCCTAAATTTATAATCATATAAATAGCAAATAAAATATTAAAAAATAAAATAAAATTCAGTATCCTTATCGTATCAATATCCTAACTTTTTCAACATCGTTGTGTCCTGTTTCCGTTTCCATTTCCGTGTCCGTGCTTCTTTGGATTTCTTGTTTGCATTTGTTCCCCGTTTACATTATGCTTCTCTATGTATATCTCTTTGCATCTCCGCGTGTAGTACGAGATTGCACATGAGTGAGGGTGTTAATAGCTTAATATACATTTATTAGGCTCATTTCCTAATAGCTTAAACTTTTGGTACTAGTGGTGATCTGAAATTTTAACCCTTCAGGTAAGTGACATTATTTGAGAAAACAGAACACCAATTTTTTTTTATACAATTTTGATGAAATTATATCTTCAAGATTTATAGATATTTCAATTTCAAACATTTGAAGTAAAAATCTATAACATGTATTATATGATTAGCTTTGTATACATCTCTAGGGTTTGTGTTAGTATTTTCACAAAGTAAAATAATAGAAAGTGATAAGATGTCACCCCAACAAATTAAAGATAAGTAGTAACCTAGTGATGGTGGTGGAGGAAGCGAATAATTGTCAGTAGTAGGAAATGCTTGAGACTTGGGGACATCTCCATCATGTGAACCAATATGATGTTCATGTTTTCCATTTCTCACAGCTCCAAACATCTTACTTTCCAGAACCTGTAATCACAAGTAAGATAACTGTCAGCATCCTATGATTTAAGCAACACTTCTCTATCATGAAAACAATCCAGTTGGAAATCAAGTAAAGTTGATTGAAGAATATTCAAGTATTCATAAATATTTACATTAACATTAACACATTTGCAGCCACCTTTTATTGAACAATCTCATCACACACTTCAATTCATAACTATGGCTCTAACTACATGCTACCACAAATGCCTAGTCAAACATTAAACAAATTAGTCCCATCTAAGAGAGGAAAACACTTTTTCCTTCTTTAATTTTTAATTTTTTTCTATTTTGTTTTTACTTTTTGGAGGGGAATAGAAAATAGATCAAGAGACAACCAAAAAATTGAATTCGAAGTATCATATTCAAGTCCCTCTCAAACACAAGTTTCTGGTTTCACAAGTTTCACAGCATGGTGCTAGTGTGGACAAGAAATATGCTCTTTTTTAAATGCCCATATTTTGTGGCAACAAATTTATGCCACTATGAAGCCTCAAAACATACAAAGATCAATGGAATTTAACCAAGGGAGTGGGATGATGATATTGGGGAGAAGAAATAGAATTTTGCTTCCCAAAGGGAAAGTTGGAACAAAATCCTTGACCATAAAAGTCTACGAGAACAATCATGAAACATGAATATGAGAATGTTTGCAACTGTAACTCAAGGTCATGGCTAATATTTTTTGTGGAAGACTGGAAGCTAAACTTTTGAATAAATAAAATAAGTGGTAAAATTCTCTATCAACAAAAGACAGAATGAAAAAATTACAGACTCTGTGATAATGAAACAAGAAAAGAAGCTCACTGGTTCACTCCTCGAACATGATAGCCTCCCTTCCAAGTTTGATGTAGATTTAGCAACACAAGACTGGGCTGCTTGCGTCTGGATCTGCCCTGGAGTAGCCTTCTGTGGAATAGAAAATTCGCTAATCTAATCAGAATAGTAAATTATTTGAGTACAACAATATCAGTTTCGTAAAATGACTTACACTAGTATTACTGTAGCATGAATCACCATGTATTACCTTCTCACAAGGAAAGTTGATTTTCCTATTAAAACTGATAGTATCCATTTTGTTGTGTTGCCTGTGCTTAACTGACGATCCATTTTTGTGCAATGACTCAACCATGAAACTAGAGCAACAAGTCCCTTCCCTGATATTGTTGTAACTATCATCCAATGTGTTGCAACCCCACGTGTACATTACATATTTTCTCAACTAGTCAAGGATAAATAAATAATAGTCAGCTAAACATAAAAGATAACAGGACAAATTCAAAAACCTTTATGCAATTTTTTTTTTTATTATTATTACAATACAAGCTGGTCTCTGATAAAAGAAATTACTTTATCCCAGCGGTCTTGAGCCTTTCGCCGATTTCTAATCTTTCGCATAATGCTATCCTCATTACGAAGCTTCTTGATTCTGTACTCACACTAAAAAGTTTACAAATAAAAGGGTTACAAGGATATGAAGAACAATGGGAAGTTAGACATAGTTCTTTTCATTCATTTCCAAATTGAAATATCTTCACAATAGAATAAGGTTTTTTTTTTCCCCAGATGACTCACATTCATTGACATAGTCACTAGATGAGTGAAACCTAGCACTTTAAAGCTCGTGAACATATAATGTACTTAACCAATGACAAATAATAATAATAATAATAAAGAAAATGTATTAGAGCTTCACAATTGATCAATAAGAAAAAATATATAGAAGATAATGTGTCATAATTCTCTCTTATTAATAATCCTACGGATATAGAGGCACAACCTAGTCAAGGTTAAAATTTTCTCATCTAAGTTTCCTTCTCTTATGGCTTCTCTCTTTTTCTGTTCTACATTACATCAGCCCACAAAACATGTTATCAAAGCATGTAAAAGATTGTGTTCAAACCTCGTTGCCTAGCCAATAATCATAATACTCAGATGTGTTTGGCCCACGTACATGTGGAACACATTCCCACCAAGTATCCTCAACACCCCCTCATCTGTGGACAGACTCTCCACCATTAATGGGTGGGTGGTGAGGTTTGAAACCAGGATTTTTTTCCTACTCTAATACATATTCAATTATTAACCAACTCATCAAAAAGTTTAAGTTGTATACGAGAGAAGCGTAACTTAATTATTCATATCCTTAACAATACAAACATATATGTTTTATAAAGAAAAAATTATAGAAAGGGAGAGGAGACATACTTGCACCAAGAAGTAGAAAAAAATCCCAATACTTATACAATAAAGGCCACCAAGATCTGCAAGGAAGCCCACTGCATTCTTCACAAAAAGAAGATGGCATTAGATCATTGATTTAAAAAGCTCACATGATATTATTAATATTCACGGCCAAAATTGCATTCTTCGAGTATAAAGCCACATTCAAACATGGAAAAATTGAAGGTGTATATGGACTTGAAATGTTTGGCTTTGGTTAGAATAACAAGATTCTCAAAAAACTCAAACTTGAGCCTGACCTATCCAATCATGTCATATAGGCCAAAAAAATCAAACATAATATATAGAAAAATTAGGATTATTAGCACAATATTTTTCGTTAAAACTTGTTTTGAAAACAACTATTCAATCCTTCCTCTTCCATCTCCTCCATTCACCACCACCACACATCACGATCACCACATCCAGCCACCGCTGTTGTGACCTCTTCCTACCACTGCCACCAATGACCACCTCCGGCTACCACCAACCCTTGGCAACCATCTCTGGTCACCATTTCTTGCCGCCAACCACCTCTAGCCATTCCCTCTCACATGTTTTCAAAACAAGCTTTTGAAACAAGCATGTACAGCATGTTTTTTTGGATCAATGTGAACAAAATCCTCTTTGGAAACTGGGGCAATGAGAGGAGAAAGCTTATAGTACGATAGACGTTTTAGGAAGGCAACATGGCGGGAGACATAAAGACGACGGGAAACAAGATCGTAATAGCGATAACCTTTCTGAGTAAGACTATAATCCAAAAAGACACGCAATACAAACCAGACACTAAGTTTTATCCTATCTTTTCAGGAAAAAAGAGCAAAACACGCAGACCCAAAAACACGAAGGAGGCAGTAATTGGAAAGTTGGGAAAACATAGACTTATAAGGAGAATGACCAAAGAGTAAGGGATAGGCATACAGTTGAAAAGAAAAACAGTTGTAAGAACCTCTGTTATTAGAATCTTACGATTCGCGATTCGATTCTCAATTTTTGCAAAATCGATACAAATCTATGGGTGAATCTATTTTGGAAGTGAATCGTACGATTCACAATCGATTTACGATTCGATTCACTTTTTATAATTCATGTAATTTTTGAAATTATTGTGTCCAACATATTTTCGACTCTTTTTTTCTCCATCTTTGCAGTGAAAATGACATAATACAGCTTCTAATAACATTTAATACCAAAATAACCAACATGTATACATGATTTGTTGTTATTTTAGTGATCATGGAATTTTTAATAGGATCCAATCAAATTCAGTCAAACCCAACATATTTTTAATCTTTTTTCACATTGCTTTTCCTTTAAAAAAGCATAATATATCTTCTAAAGATGTTTAGGATTAAAGTTACACTAGAATTATCTATTGCTATTTTATTAAATTGAATATAATTGAATATTACATGTGTGAGGTCAGTTATATCTTTTAAAATGTTTTAGACTTTAAAATAAAAGATTCGAAATAATTTTTTCTTATTATATGCTTAATGTTACTTAGAAAAGTATATATACTTATTGTCCAAATATTAATATCGTTGTTAATTATTGTTACTTTGAAAATTGATATTTTGTCTATTTAGTTATTATCTTTATTAAGAATGGTTAATAAAAAATATCTATAAAAAAAATAATAAAAAAAAAGAAGGTAAGATGGTAATCTTACATAAGAACTTTTGTTAATTTCTTACCTATTAAACTACGTGATTATCAATTAAAATAACATTTTCATTGATTTAAGTTTAAATATTTCACATTCATAAGATATATTTAACATCTACATGTATAGATATCTTAGTAGCAGGAATCGTTACAGTAAGTGACGATTTTCTAGAAGAAAAGCGATTTTGCATTCCCGAATCAAAATCGTTAAGAAACGCGATTCTTAAGAAAGAAAATCGCGTTTCGGTATGAGATGAAAACGTCTGTGAAAATCAAACAACTCCGTTCTCTCTCGAACATGGCTCTGCTCTCTGGTCGGATTCAACTCCTCTCTCTTGGACATGGCTCTTTACAAACGACAAAAGAAATGAAAGAGTAAAGAGCAAGAGAGAATCTGGTCGTCATTCGAAAGGGCGAAGACATCGGTCGCCAACTTCGATCCCTCTGGTCGCTGCTTTGACAGCTTCGACTTTTGCTCGATGCTCGATCTTTCTCTCTGTCTTCTCTCTCGTTTCTCGATCTCTCTCTTCATCCCCTCTCGTCTCTTGATCTTGATCTCCATCTACTCTCTCGATCTCTCTCTCTTCTTCTATTGACTTCTCCCTTCTTTCTTTTTTCTTTGTCTTTTCTTCTCTCTGTTCTCTTTTCTAATATTTTTAATTACATTTATATTATATGATATAAATTACATTAATATAATAATTTATAATATTATTCATATTATATAATATAATTCACCCAAAAAAAATTGTATAATATAATATATCATAAATAATATAATTTTTATGTCAAAAATAAAAATAAATTATTTTATCATATATAATATAATTTATTTTATATCTATAAAAAAAATTATAATTTTTATTTATTATTTTTATTATTTTTTATTTTTTTATTTTTACAAAATTTGTTATTCATTAGTTTTTTTTTAAACTCATCTTTTTTCATTTATAACATATATATATATGTCAATTTATTTATTAAAAAATATATGTACATGTATGTCAATTAAAAATAAAAAAATTTATATAGATAAATTAAAAATATAATTAATAAAAATCATACATAAGCGATCATAATCTACGACTCATCTAAGTGGCCACATTCCCCCACTCCCGCTTCATGCAACTATGGTAGATATAAGTAATTTATAAAAAGTGACCGAATCTTTACTATTCACGATTCGATTCGATTCACGATTCGGTACGAGGCTATTGAAATTCACGATACGAATCCCAATTTGACAACTATGGTAAGAACTGCTTCACCCCAAAAGGGAGCTGGAACAGAGGGAGAAATGAGAGACCTAACTGTCTCAAGGAGAAGACGGTGTTTATGCTTAGCGGGCGGGTGTATCAGTACAGGAAATTTGGTGAATGGTATCCAAATTGGTCAGATACTCACATAACTCAATTTCAAAATATTCTCCACCTAAGTCAGACTGTAACAATTTAATAGCAGACCCAAACTATATAGTGATCATAGACTGAAAAGTATGATATATTTGGCAGAAATCAGATTTATGAGTTATAAGATACACTCAAAGTATAACAGGTGCAATCATCAACAAAAGACACGTAGTACGTAGAAAGCCTTTTAATAAGAACGGGATAGAGTCTCCAAACATCAGTATACACGAGAAAAAGGAAAAACAGAAATAGAAATCCTTCTATTAAATGGTAAAGCTGATATTTTGGCAAATTTAGACCCCCGACATTCATCAATTTGACTAAACTTTACCCAACAATCCTGACTGAGCTAAAGACCGTAATCGGTCAACAGACAAATGACCTAGGCGAGAATGCCATAAATAAAACTGACTCGACTAAGAATCTAACTGAAACGATAAAAGTGCAACTAGAGAGGTAAATAGAAGGAGATGTAAGCTTTCTACCACATAGAGATCTCCAGCTCTACGATCGGTCCCAATCTGCTTCTTGGACACCCGATCTTACACACAACAAAATAGAAGAAAAAAAGATAACATCAAAACCAGAAGCATCAAGTTGACTAATAGATAATAAATTGACAAATAGCTGAGGAACATAAAGAACAGAGAGAATAGTACCAGCAGACATGGCAGAAGGTAAGACAGACCCAATAGATAGAACAGACATATCAAACCCATTAGTAGTATTAATAGTAATAGGAAAGGGAAGAGGAATACAGTTTTGAAATAAGGAAATATGAATAGTCATGTGATGAGAGGCACTAGAATCAAAAAGTCAGACAGAAGAAAAGATACCTGGAGAGAACCCAAGCAAATCTGAATGAAGAGAGGTAAGCGTAGAAGCAGATGAGGGTGGCTGAGAGGTGGACAAGATATGCTAAAGTTGAGCAATCTGAGCACTCAAGGAAGCCAAGTCAAAATCTGGAGTCGGAACAAATGCAATATAAGCAGCAAAGGGCTGGAAAGTACTCTAGTAGGACCGCAAAACTGTGTCTGAGGTGGCTGAGAAGACGGAGCAAGCTGATGTCCCTTATTGGGATAGTTGTACTTCCAATGACTCCTCTGACGGCAAAAACACACTCATCTGAACCTAATGGCCCCTTCTTAGGCTTCACAGTGGCCTGAAGCTAATAAGGAGGTGGGGTCGATAATAGAAAAGGTTGAGCAGGAGCCAAGAAGATAGAGGGAGACAGAGTTTGACTGGCCATCTTAAGACTAGTTTCCTATAAGAAGAGCTCACGAACAATAGCATCCACAGAGAGAAAAGGAGACCGATGAAGGATGCTACCACGGATAGCCTCATACTGAGAGGAGAGAGTCGTTAAGAACTACACTAAACCACCCTGTTCCCGAAACTAGCATAAGCATCTAGAACCTTGAGGCTAAATGGTTCTATAAGAGCCAATTAATCCCAGAGACCTGTCATCTTGATATGGAAGTCCTGAATAGACTGATTCCGCTGACAAGCACTCTAAATAGCTTTTTCAACTCATACTACTTGGCAAAGTTGGATTGCTGATAAACACCCAATAAATAATCTCACACCTCCTTGGCAGTGCCATACTTGGAAAACATCATTCCAATACGGTCATCCACAGAATTATGAAACCAGGTCAAAACTTGGGCATTATCGCAATCTCAAGTGTCACAGGAAGTCGGATATCCTTTTGCTTTCAGGTCTGATGCATGAGGAACAGAACCAGAAACATAGCCCCATTTTTTTCTGACCGAGAAGAAAATTCTTCGTAACACTAGCCAATAAGCATAACTGGCACCAATGAATTTACATCTAACTGCTTGGATTTTGATTCCAACATTGTAATAAACCAAAGACAGGTTCAAGTATAATAATCAAATAACAGATGGGCCAAACTATAAATAAGAGTTTTTAACCAAATAACTAGCACTGAGAGAAAATCATGAACACAGAGAGATACAAACAGAGCAATCGCGAGAAGAGGGCCACAAAATTTTGGTCCCTCAACCTAACCAAACTAGACAATCCCAGATGGGTCAAACGAGCAAGATGAGTCAGATGACTCGATAGATAGTGATGAACAAATGCAAATGGGTTAACTCGACTTCCAACGAACTAGACGATGCACAATCTCAAACCAGAGGGTCGAATGACCAAGCAACAACTTCAGATGGAATAAATCAGAGAAAGAGAGAAGTCAAGCGAAAGAACAGCTTGATGTTGCGACCCAGTAGAAAACTTCGATTTATCAACGAACCAGGAATCTGAGGTTAAAACTTCGATCGATCAACCAGAAAGAGAAATATCAAGCCAAAAATCAGAGGCTAGGGTTTCGAACACAACTCTGATACAATGTAAGATTGCTTAATAGAAACTATATATTCGATTGTGTTTCTAATACAAGAGTACATCAGTTTATATAACAATCTAACCTAGGATTGAAAAGGAAATAAGAATATCTACTCAATCCCTAATACATACAAAATATATATACTACCATATATATACATAAAATCGAATATTCTCACAGGGACTATAAACACAACTGGCTTGACTATAGCTATAAGCTAGAGAGCTCTACCTCAGTTTGCCACTATGTGGTGGCCCTCCATTAGGAGTACATTATGTCGACACGTGTCTCCTCTCTGTCATATGACCATTAGATGGGCATGTGTTGTTTAATTATGCTATTTATAATTTGCATTCGAATGTTGGGGCCATGAACATGTCTGTTAAATAACAATTCCTATGTCATATTATTTTCTTTAATGGTTATCAAAAAACGCTATGTACTTCGAATTCTACTTATTTTTTTTGTAGTTTACACAATTAGTCGAAGCCCATAAAAAGGAGGAAGCTGCATTAGACTCAGACCCTACATATATGGTATGCATGTGTTTGTATAAACAAAGAACTTTAGCAAAAAAAGTAATTTGCATGTTCAAGCATAAACAATACTTATCACCAATAATGAAATGCAAACTATACCAATCATGAATTCAAAGATTTTGCAATAATAGGTAAAGAACAAAAGTCCTGAACATGTCAACCACAATTATGTATAATATGAACCAAAAAAATGAGTTAATCTACATGATCAGAAAACAGCTCACCAGGCCCCAAAATATTTTGATTATCAATCTCTGCAACATAGGCTGAGAGAAAATTGACATACAACGTGATATTGATTAGACCGTTGTTAGAGCTTTCAAGTGAAGCCTGAAGCTGACTTGTATTACTATAAGATGAACCCGGGAGAAACTCATGAAACATTGGTTGGATAAGCTTAAGATCATGTAGATTCTTGTAAATTCGTGGAAATAAATTAAATTTCAATATATTTGGAACTGCCCCTCTGTACGTAATCGGTTTGTCATCACGATTGCTTCCATTCTTTAGCATCCCACCGACAAAACTCAAATGCTTTTTGCCTATGTGGTTCTTCGCACTGAGGTTGAACTGAAATCCAACAGCAGTTGCAGGGTCATTTGGAAGATCACCAAACTGCCATGATATATAGACACTGTCTCGAATAAGCTGACAATTGTCACACTTAAAAATCATAGTTGGTCCCTCAGTGGTATTCAAGCATGAATAATTAGCAAAGGTTGAAAGAGGAGCAACCCTATAATCAATGAAACCTGGATTCCCAACAACTAAAGTACCAATGTCGCGTAAATGTGAACAACTCATAGTAGAAACAGTAGTAATATTGAATTCCATGTCATTGGTGAAGGATGCTAAATCAGGTGCATTTGTTGCTCTCACATTATGAACCTCAACTTTACTCTTTGATATGATTTGGTAGAGCAACCTGTGATAGTAGAGAACAGTTCAATCAGTATCAATTCATATTGATATAGGATATTGAAAAAAGGGGGAGGAGGGTTGTAAAGAGAATAAGTAGAAGACAAATATATGACAAACAGAAAAACCAAGCCCGTGGATATGATTCAACTGAACTGAGACACTATGAATTGAGGAAAAGAGTGCTGTCAGTTACTCACGCGGCAAATAAACCAATAAAAAGAATTAAACTTGCTATTGAGAAAGTTCCACCAAGTTCTGTTTTCCGCTTCACAACAACCTTCTGATCATCCTGTATAAAACATATGACCAGGAAAGATATGTCAATTTTATCAATCTAGTCAAATAATAAAGGTAATTATTTATATTGTGCAATTGAAAAAAAAAAAAGGAAAAGAAAATAGAACTCCTCCAAATCAAGGATGATGCAAACAGATCAAATCTCTTGTCATGACAACATAAAATAAAGCCCAACCACCAACAACTGAAGAAAATTTTCACTATCCCGTGGTGTTAGTGGCATTGACAATAGTCATGAGTCATGACAGTGGTGGCGGGGGTAGCAGTGGTGGTGGCTATAGCAGTTATAAGAACATAAGGGTAGAATCCATGTACAAAAGAACAAAAAGTTTGCGAAAATCAAGCATGAGACCCTTCAAGCAATAGTGAATATAAGAACATAAGGGTAGAACCCATGGCCCCCTTCCAAGAGCATAAAAAAACCCATGCTTGGTAAGTAAAAATTCATAAATGTAGCACTGAAATTTATTATGACAAAAATAATAATGAAAGAAAGAAAAGAAAACATAAGAAAATGTTTTTGGTAACTCCTGATAAACCCAAGTTAATCTAACTTTATTCAAATCACTATAATGGCAGTCACAACCAACTTATCATATTACCATATTGAAACTATTCTCAATTACTCACATCTTTGAATCCTTATGAATAGCTCTATTACTCCGCATATTGAAAAAGAAAATAAATAAATACAGACACACACCCTATCCAACTTCTCACCTATCCAAATAACTTATATTTGTTAGATCACCATATTGTTAGATCACCATAGTCCCAAGAATGTAAGTTGTTAGGAAATAGGTACAACAAATGCAAATGGAGATATTTGACTCCAAGACATTTGCCAAACTGAGCTTGTTAAATCACCACTAATTCCAAAAATTAAATCATTAGAAATAGGCCAATAATATATATATATATATATAGGGAAATTCTAATATACACACCCTTGAAAAAGGTGTACCATATGCACCCTTAATTACGTCATTTTCTTCTTTAGTTATAACATTATTTTTTAGTTATGACTCACGAGTTCTTTAGTTATGCCTCATGTTGTGTTTAGTTATAACATTTTTTATTTTATTTTAGTTATGACTCAAAATATAAAATTATGTCATTTTTTTGTTTAGTTATAAGGTGCATATTACAATGTGTGCACCATCATGTTTCCCATATATATATCAAACTAACCAACAATATTCACCTATGGTCCACATAGGATACTAGTTGTTTTCTTAGAAGGTAACATTTCCATATATTGTCAAGAATTAGTAACGAATTCCAAAATAAATTGTAAATAATGCATTATAAATAAATCCTAACTCAATAACTACCAACTCTAACTACCTTTGCAAAGTACAAATAGGAATTAAAGAACATATATAATTTTAGTTAATTTTTCAAACTTTGGAGAATTGTTCAAAAAATGATAAGAGGGGAAAAAATAAAACAAACAAGCAAACAAGTTGTAGAAAAAACAAAGGTGAAGGTTCCAATCAGGTTCAAGTTTATCTCAACTTCTCAAAAATTCTCTTAAGAACATGAAAAAAGTACATTGCTTATCCCTCCCTTCCACAAATGTGCACACACAGAAAACCTTAAAAGGCCTAACTGGCCCTCCCTTAGGAATATATCCGCATTCATCACCACCAGATAACTTTGATAACTAACAATAAATTTGTATTAAGAGGAAGCCCAGAAAACACATAAATATGTTACATGGATTCGGGTATGAGTGTCAGGTGCGAGTATGTATTTAGAGATCAGACTCATCAAACTATAAATTTAAGGGTATGCGGACTCGGCAAAAAATTGTCATATTTTTATATTTTTAATCAAGTATGTGATAGAAAATAGTGTTATATGTAACTTACAGTATCAAAAAGATATTTATAGCAATTATATCACAATATGTATATATAATAATAGTATTATATACAATTACATAAGAAATATCTGTTAAAAAGTATCCGATACATATCTCATACCCTTATCCGAGTGTCGAGTGTCCGACACGGGTATTTGATTTATTTTGAAGAGTCCGTGTAATATATATAAACCCTGCCCAAAATATAACTCTTTGACAAAATCCACCAACAAAAAGGAAGATTCACATAACACCACTTTCAACAAAAAATGAATAGATTGAAATAAAGATAGCTTTAAGCCTATGTATAGCCATCTATACATCTTCAAAAGTCATCTGATTTCTTTCTTATACGAGGCATAAGAGAATCACTCTCCAACCCTTCTTCGCCCTCCTCGCATGGCAGCCATAATCCCAACATTCGTAGAGTTGAAGCACAAAAGTCTACATAACCCAACTGGCACCAAATATAGAATAAGTAGACAAACTTTGAATCAAACTCATTGTGGTGGGCTAAAGAATCCTTCAACCTTCATCTCTACTTAGATCCATAAACTACGTTAAAGTGTAAAAAACATCATTGTGCGCATGTTTGGATTTGTTCAATTGCCTAACAATTCAAGTAAGACTAAAGCAACACAAAAACAACATGGCATGATCTTGCACAACAATTTTTTTTTTGCCCTGGGTAGATAACTTACTTCACCTTCTATCTTATGAGCTAAAACAATGATTTCGGAGCTCACAACAAAAGGCCAAAAATAATAAGAATGTAATAGGAGATGTAGCAATGCCACTGCACCACAACATAACCAAAAGGTGCATAAAAATATGAACTATTTAAACCATGCCAAACTAATCATATCAGAAAAGTAGAGCGAAAATTCCTTAAGCAATGACTTGCAAGTACTTAACTATCTCGACCCTTCCCACAACCGCCCAATGTTTTGAAAATTGACTCTTTGCATTTTCATCTAACGAACTGGTATTGTAAAACCTACACTCAATTTTTCAGTGAGCAGAGTTCATAACCGATAAGCTATATCCATAAAAAATTTCCTATTTCGAGAAAAAAAATTAAAAAATAAAAGGGCATTTCCCCCCTTTTTTTTTAAATATTGTATAGCAGTTGTTTTAGCAATCCATTTAACTTGAACTAATGAATCATATAACCACAATCTCCATTAAAATTCTCAGCTCAAACCCATATACTTTAAAGTTTCGATAATTCCAATATCTCACATACCCAATATCAGCAAAATCCAATCCAATTAGCTGAAAATTGAACATACCAGCCAATGGCGAGTGGAGAAACAGATGTCTAAGCGGCTAATCCACCACCGGATCTGGAACCAGATGTTGCGGCCATCGCGGAGCTTCCGGAAGCGAACGAAGCAGCAGAAAGCGAGCCAAGAGAGGAGCAAGACGACGGTGGCTTCAAGAAACACGGCCTGAGACTGCGTGAACCTCTTGATGGAGTCAAAGGAGAAGATGGTCTCCGGGAACGATAATGAGTAGTCAACACCGGAGTCCACAACCCATGAATCGCCAGAGACCTGGAACAGCTCACAGGTCTTGGCGGTGGAGTTGTAGAGGTAACCAGGGCTGCAAGCGCAGAGAGAGTTGTTGTAGAAGAACGAGTTAGATGGACATGGCGGAGATGGTAAAGATGCCATTTTTTGATTTGGGTATTTTCTCTGTTTGAGCTTGGCTTTGCTTGAAGAGAGAGAAAGAGTGAGTGAATTAGATCAAGGTTGTGGATTGGATTGGGGGAGATTGTGATGTCTGAGATGGGTGAAGTGGTGGGAAGGGAAAACAAAGGGGACGAAGAAAGGAATTTTAGAGAGAGAGAGAGAGAGAGAGAGAGAGAGACTTGGAAACAGATGGGCAGGTTGTTTGGGGAAAATTGGAAACAGATGGGTGACTGCGTTTGACAAGGCGTGGTGTATCAGATTTGGGGAAACGTTTTGGTATCGCTTCTCTCCGGTAAGGTTGATTATGGTTTCTGTTTTAATAATTTGAATCCTTTAGTAATAATAATTTGAATCGTTTAGTGTGTAAAATTTATTGATGATTTTATCATTATAAAAAATTATGTTAGTCGGATATTAATAGTCCTTTGATGATAATATATTTTTATCAATGGTAAATATAATTTTAAAATAAATTGTTAAACTAAAAATATCTTTATCAATGGATTATCGATATCCGATCAATATAATTTTTTATAAAAATAAAATACTCAATAAACTTTACATATTAACGATTCAAATTATCAAAATAAAATTTATAATGAATCTCGCTAATTTAATTATACAATTTAATCTATTTTATACATCTTAATTTTTTAAAGAAAAACACGCAAAAGCGTATATGAGATCCAAGTGTCTTTTTGTAACATCATAGCAATGACTCATCAGATTTTTGTGGACTTCTTTATTTCAACAATGGTCAATAAGGTGTTTACCCCGCGTTGAGCTCGTTAAGTAATTGGAAATTTTTTTTAAATCAAGTAATTGAATTTGGATTAGTAATTCATTGAACCTTATATAAATTATTATGCTTAGTTGGTTCTTATATTATGTGTTTAATATTAGATTGGAGTAGAAAATATTATTTTATCGTACTTAATAAAAATAATAAAATTATATTGTAATAACGAATATTTTTATTGTATAATTTTATAAACTTAATCTAATCAATTCAATCGTACTGTAATTATATTCTTAATCAATCTGATGTGGTAATACCTATGTGGTATGATTGATTACTCTTATATTTGTGTTTTGAACGACAAAAGAGATGCAAACGCCTAAATAAGGAGCTCGTAATCTAAAATGTTTACGCCATTTTTTTACCATTTAAAGTATAACTTATTTTTCACATTAACTCTAAAAGAAAAGATTTGTCCATCTTTAAAGTTTCTCACTTTAGCTCTATTTTTTTTTTTTTTTTTTTTTTTTTTTTTTTTAGATTTGATTTATATAAAATATTATAATAAAACTCAATAAATTAAAAGCATAGTAATAAAGATCAAATACAAACTTTACAAATTAATACACGAATATTACAATAAAACTCCGGGGTTGTTTAAAATGTCATAAATAAGTGCACTTTTTGTCTTTTTATACTAAAAAGTTGAGGAAAAAAAATATGGATGTTTAGGTTAACTTTTTGAATTTTTACGAAAAAATATGTATCAAAAAATTATATAAATAAGTGTATAGGAGAAGTTATTGAGTAGCTTGTACAGTACCTAGGCAGTGTAGTCGGTTGTTAGGAGATGGAAAATGGTTGCCTCCTTTTCGAGCTTGAATTGGACAGTGTTGTTCGGTCTGTGTGGGCCCACCACGAGTCCCTTTTTGCTAATCGGAACCGTTCAATATGTAGAACTCATCGAGTACTATATGCTTATTAAAAATCACGTTGATCGGATATCGATAGCTATCTGATCCAGTTTTTGTCAACCGTTAACTATAACACCATCTATTTTTTATACAAAACTGATTTAATCATGTAGTTATTCATATCTGATTAACGTGATTTTTTACAGACATATAGTACTCGACGAGTTCTACACATTGAACGGTTTGGATTATCAAAACAGGACCCGTGGTGGGCCCCACTGGCCCAACATTATCTTCCAATTTAATAAATATATATATACCTTTTTTTTGTCCCCCTTTGACAGTTTTTCCATCAATTCTCAGTACCAGTCACGTCTTTGTATTAAAATATGTAATAAATTAATTTTTTTATATTTTTAATTTGTGAATAGTGATAACTTTTTAACTTTTTTAATAATTTTTTTATTTTTTGACTTTTTTTAGAGATGCCAAACTAGGTCTCAATAAATTACAATCATAGTAATAAAGATTAAATACAAACTTTACAAATTAATATACAAGAAATAAGACCCACACATAGATGGAGATATTCAAATTACTAACCTCCTAATATAATGTAGGAGTTTTAACAAATTAGGCTAACCCTATTGGTCGTTCAATTACCTATAATTTTGATACCTTAAAAATGGTTACTAATGATAACTTTTAAGAGTATGTTTGGTAAGTAGAAAAGGAATGAGGTGTGATTGGAATGAGAGTGAGAATAAAATATAAGGTTTAATGGAATCATTCTATTATTTGGTTGTCAGCATGGAATGACTAAATAGAATAAATTTTTATTTATTATTTTTTTTAATAAATTACTAATAAACAAGTTAAAAATTCGTGTGGATCATGATAGTGTTGATACTTGTAGAAGTGATAGTGTGAGCCATGGCGGCGGCGGCGATGGCAGTGGTGGTGATGATAGAAGTAATAATAGCATGGTGGTGTGGTGGTAGATCGTTGTAGTTGTAGTGGTAAAGTGGTAGCAGAGTGATGGTTCTTACAATGGTAGTGGCTGTGGTGTGGTTTTTGTGAAGGTGGTGGTAATCGTGGTGAGGTAGCGGTTGCGGCGGTGGAGGCAATGGTAGTGGTGGTGGAGTAATGGTAGTAGGGTAATGGTTATAGTAATTGTGATGGTAGTGGTTTGGTGGCTGTGGAGGTGATGGTAGTGATTGTGGTGGTAATGGCGGTGATATGGTGGTGTGGTGGTGGCAATGACGATAGTAAGGTGGTCATGATATGGTGGTGTGATGGTGGTAGCGATTATGGTAGTGATAGTTGTTGTACCGATCTTGGTGGCAATGGTAGTGATGATGTGGTGCTTGTGGTTGTAGTTGTAGCTGTGTTAGCAGCGACGGTGGGGGCAAAAATAGAGTAGTGGTCGTAGTGTTGGTGATGGTAGTAATGGTGGTGGTGGTGGTGGTGGTGGTGGTGGTGGAGGAAGGGGGTGGTAGTAGAAGGAAAATGGTGAGAGTAGCTAATTGATAATTTTTTATGGTAATTTTATGATAGTATGGAATGACTATTCCTTAGGCTTGAGGAATAATCATTCCGTTAGAATAAGTAAGTCATACCAAACAAGAAAAAAAAATGCAAAATTAGAATGGGCATTCCATTAATTTCAACACATTCTATCATACCAAACAAACTCCAAGAATTGTCAATAAATAACAAAAAATGACAAAATATTCATAATTTCAATATATTTTTCACATATTTCAATATATTTTTGTGGAGAATTTTATCATATACACCCCACACCATATGCATCATTAATTGCGTCATTTTCTTCTTTAGTTATGACTAATTTTTTTTTTTAATTATGACATTATTTTATTCTTTAATTATGACATTATTATGAGATTTTAGTTAAGACTTTTTTTTATTTGATTATGACTTATTTTATTTTATTTTTTTAGTTATGACTCAAAAAATATGAAATTATATCTAATTATGAGGTGTATACCATAATCTTTTCTTATTTTTGTATATATTTTTCAATACACTTTTTATACATTTTTCAATACTAATTAAAAATTATTAAACCCACACTTTGAATATAGCCCACCACCCAAACCCAATATCCATCGTCCAATCCGTCTACCTCCTCGTCCATTTCAATATATGTCCCCTAATCTTCTCTCTCATTCTCGACTCCCTCTACATCTAACTTTAACCCCTCTCTCCACCACACTCCACTTTCTTCACCTTAATCCATAATGTCAACCCGCACCCTACCTCCATACCAATACCATCAACACCACAATTACTGCCTCTCTCTACCCTTCACCATCCGCCCACCGACATAGCAACTATTACCTCCCCTTTTCCCCAGACCACCTTGCCCATAGAAGTCTGAACTACTACTTGCATTTGTTGTTCATTTTCTCGTTGCAACATTTTGTCCCAAATAGCCCTTATCGCAAAAGGTATAGTCCTCAACCTAGCCTTAGTTGATTACATACAAGGGTCATTGTCCTCAAGAGCATTCTCAAATTCATACTTCCTTTTGGCTTTTTGTTCAAATTGTCAAGGGTGTGTTTGGTAACGTTTACGTTTTCAGTTTATATTTATAAAAATTTTATAAACTGATTTTTGTTTATTATTTATTTATTTTTAAAAAAACATAAACTACAAACACGTTTGGTAATTGACAAAAAAATTTAAAAATATAAAAAAGAGTGAGAAATGATAAGTGGTGGCAAGTGGCGGTGGAAGACGGTGGTGGAAAGTGGTGACGGTGGGTTGGTGGTGGTGGTGGTGGTGGTGGTGGTGGGTGACGGTGGCGAGTGGTGGGTGGTAGCGAGTGGGTGGTGGTGGGGGGGGTGGTGGCAAGGGGGTGGTGGGTGGGGGTAGTGGGGGGGTGTGGGGGTGGATAGTTTGCATTGGGGAGATTGCCATAAGGAAGGTCGTTAACAGTGAAGGGCTGCCGACGGTATGAAGAGGTTGTCAGGAAAAGAGTTGGGAGTCCAAAGAAGAAGGGTATAGTTGGGATTAATGTGAAGTTTCAAATAGAAGATAAGAGGGATTCAATTATGTGTGTGATGGTTCAAAGAAGTGACGGGTCTAAAGTGAAAAAGTAGAGTATTTAGCAACACTCATTTGAAATGGTCACTATCCTTTGAAATGGACCATATCGCCTTTGATTTCTATCTGTTGTCTTAACAGAGGTTATTAATTTGACTTTATTTATATAATAGAAAAAATTAAATGACAAAATCATTACAATTAAAATTATAAAGATCAAATTGATGACTTTGTCATTTAATTTTTTGTATTATATAAATTAAGGCCTCGTTTGGGAACGGTGGTGGAAAATGGTGGTGGGTGGTGGCTAGTGTTGGGTAGTAAAAAAAAAAAAATTCAAAACTTAAAACGGAAACACATTTTTTGTGTTTTCATTTTTTGGCCAAATTTATAAACTGAGTCCACTTATTTATAAATCAGAAATTTTACCAAACAAGTTTTTATTTGAGTTTTTAAAATTTTTGTAAATATAAACAGAAAACTGAAAACGTAAGTGTT